ATAATAGCAGCAGGAGCAAACGCTTGCCTCGGGGAGGGAGAAAAAGAGCCACAGCGGAGAATAAACAAAAGGGCAACCATGGCAACCATGCAAGGGAAGTCTTCTTCGCTGCTTTTGTGGCAGACTACAGCGCCACTGACAGGCCTGGCATATGTACTACAGCGTCTCCAGCGCTTTCGAGCGGCAATGGCCGGCCGTGGCCCAACCTCTCATTCCCCTGATAGGTGGAGAATTGAACACTAAGCGGAGCACCCCTTTTGTGACGTAGAAAATAATTCAAATCTGTATCAGTCTGTATCAGATCTGTTACTGCCCCTTTTTTTTTTAGATTTGGGTATAGAGGAAAAGAGAGGGTTGTATTTTCTGACACTTAGTGAGTTCCCTGACACACCGGGGACACATATACATGTATAAAAGACGTACAAGAGTGCATTTTGCATGATAGGTCCCCTTTAACTAAATTCAAGTTGACAAAAACGCACATCAGGCACACACTTCGAGACCTTGCAACGTAAAGCTTTTTTTTCAAACCACGTCAAATCATGGATTGCACAAAAAAAAATGACTTCACAACTGTCAAATGATATACTGTAGTTATTAGCACAGCATTATTGTATGTCTGCATGGTTAAAAAAAACGAATGCACAACCTAACAGCCACACTCTGTGACCAAAATTACCCGACCCACCACATGCCACCCATGGACCTGGCAAAATGCTAAAGTGCTAATAGTGGATCCTCCAACAGTGACACCATGGGGAACTTTTTGCTTCAGTAAGGTGCTGTTCTTGGAAATAATCCCCATCGTCCTGACTGCAAATCCTTATTTTATTTTAGGTGCGCATTGAAGCAGTACTGAGACTGGGAGTGGCCATAGAGAGAAAAAAACATATGAATGCTGAACTAATGATTGACTAACTGTGGCAACAAGATATACACTCATTCGTTACCTACATTTAATTGAAGTGTTCCCATGTTTTGATTCCATCCACCACTTGCTTAAGACAAATGTCTTTAGTTTTAGTTGGCAATAAATAGAAGCCTTTTAATTAAGCTTTACATTAGCCGTGGACGAGTTAACGAGACATGTTGACAACATTAGCTCTGCAATGGATTATTGTTGATAAAAGGCAATTAGCGAAGACATTGAGAGCTTGAGGATTATATCGTTATGTAGATGATGATGATGAAGTATTTCCACAACTGGTTATCTCTTTCCAGGATAATTTACATCTTCATGAGCTAGCAACCTGTGTAACCCTTGCATCATAATAATACCAATACTTAAGCAGGTGCACTGTACTTCATTTGGGAAAAAAGGCTGGTCTGGTATAGTATCGCTTTGTACACATTTGGTGTGCACAATTGACCGAAACATGGGTATGAAGTACTTACATTTAGGCCATGCCATACATTTTGTTTGCCAAATTAATATTTTTGTATCCCTCTGGAAACTCCTGGGCTTCGTAAAACAGAGAGTGTTAGTAGACTAGTTATAAACAGTTTACGGTTATATTATCCTTCGACAATGAACCAGCAGGGAAGTCGAGCAGACTCGGGAGGACTTTTCTGTGCTCAAGTTTCTCAAAATGACATTCAGACAGGTGAGTAAATTAAACTCACTGAACCTTCTCGACAGATGAGACTGCCAACTATCACTGAGTTGACTAGGCAACGGGGTGTGTATGACTGTACAGTCTCTCATTGCTTTCATATAGGCCTATGTTTTCACACTGGAGTTTATTTTATAATTACTACACAGCTTTGTTGAATACTCAATTCTGATTGGTCAATTTGGACATTCTGCGATCTGTTATTTCTCTATAGCAGATATTTAATGGCTTTCAAAAAATAAAGGTTTTCTGTCTATTTTAATATTATTTGGGAAGAGCATTTAACTTGACATATTGTTCAAACATTTCTGTGATGCTAAAAGAAATCTAGTCTGTGGTGTGATGTAGAGGTTTCCCTTTTTAAAAGAAAATGTCAGTGCTGTTTACTGAAAGTACATTTCAAGTGACTTAGTTTTTACTTTTAGTTTGGTCCATTTAAATGTATTTTAATTCCACAATTGACTTGAACAAATAGATTTTATAAATTATGCTTAGGTGTTTTTAAGTATGTGCATGTATTTCTTAAAAAAACAAGCATCCAATCACATGTACCTTTTCTGAATGCTTATTGTATCCACCAAAAACAAATTGTTATAATTTTATTATTAAACTACGGTTATCAGCAAGTTATCAACTCCTCTCCACTTTAATTCTGTTCCCAGATATCTGCCTTCTGCTGCTCCGCCTCTGCGAAACCTCCAATTAGATTTAAAAGCATAACGTTACACCTGAATGCCCGTAGTGATGACCTGAAAGTTGACCTCAGCCAACAAATGATTGTATTTCCACTGACTCAGCAGAGAACCACCCATTGATCATTAATGTAAAACACAGACAGGAGAAAATTGCAATTAAGCACAATATGGAAAGACAGCACTTTAAACAAGGTGAAATGGAGGCAGTGCTGTGTATTTATTCATTGATTCCAGCAGTGATCCAGAAAGGCTGGATGAAAGTCTGAAATACAAATTAGCACTTTCCTGCAACTCCAAATGAAGAAAAAGCTCAGCTTCATAAAAACGACAAGTTAACTTAGTGTTTGTATGCATTCATACAGTATACGAACGGATATTCATTTCCATTTGTCCTTCGAGTTTCCTATGGAAGCACAATACCGCTGTATATTGAATCCTACGATGAAATGAGGATGGTCTTCATGAAACGACGAGCTAATTTAAATCATAAGGCGTGCCTTTTCAGCAGGGATTTAATATCCATCATTTCAGTATTAAATACTTGTGCAAATTACAAATGTGTCAGATGGCAGGGCTCCATTAAGGTACACAATGTTATTCATTACAACTAAATGTCATTACATTTACCTTGATGAAAAATTGACCT